CTTTTAGAGATTAATATTTTTTCGATTGTTTTCGTCAAAATCGTTAAGTTTATTCGTGGGAAACGGGGAAGAAACAAGACGATACACTTAGATTAAATGATAACGTATACACAGAGGAAGGAAAATATTTAAACATCTAAGGAAATGAAATAAAATTATACGATTGCAGCACGGTTTTCTCCATAAAATTACAAATGAAATAATTGTTTATGGCGAAAGTTGATACGAAATAACGAATTTCTTAAACGTTAATTTGTAATTATTTCCCTTTTCGATTCTACATATTAAAATCACACGAAAATTTCCCCACACGGACAATGTCTTCCTGTATTCAAATGTTTTTCGATTGCAATATTCATTTATTATAAACTTCAAAGAAAACTTTGGGAAACTGATTTATATTACGAAGTATATATATTAATAACAAAGTACGAAATCAAAAGGTACAAATAAAATAAAAATTAGTTTTGTGAACAGAATATTGTACAGTAAAGTGCTGGGAAACAGACGAAATACAATTTAATAAACAATACTATTAGCATAGAACAATTAAAACTGTGATGAAATTAGCACAAATCGTTTGCTAAACTATCCTGAAACTAAATAGATACTAGTGTAAATCTGTGTGCATATTCATTAAGTCTTTTTTATAAATACAATGTAAACAAATGTACTTTCTTTTTGCTTAGTAATTGAAAGGAATGACATAATTTCTATAGATGTAGGCCTATATCTACTACAATGTAAACTGTATGATAAGTTAATTCTATGCTGATTAAGAAATGGTATTTTCTGATTTTTAACCATATTAACAAGGAAAAACAACATTACTTTATCACTATGAAATCAAATAAGCTCCAGGAAAAATGTTCTCTCTTTTTTTCTCTTTAAAAACCTAAATTTTATTATAAATTTTATCCTTATTAGAAAAAATAATAATAATAAATCGAATCATTAATAATAGTCCAACTAAAGTTTTAGGGTAAGAAATATTTATTTTTCTTAATATTTTAATATATTTGTGCTATAATAAAAACTATATAGGTTTATATTATGTTGTGCAACGATATAACATACACTTTGTTATATTATGTAGGCCAGTGGGTTATCTATATATACAGCACATCTTAAATTTAGATATAAGTCTACTGAAAATTCTTATATACGAAGATGTAATATACACCAAGATTATTATTTAGATAAAACTTGGAAATTTAATAGGTGTAAATAATAATAAGCATCAATACAGAAGATGGTAAGGTTTGTAATTTAATAAACATGAAATGCAATCGTTGTCAGTTTATCATCACCTACATTAAAATTTATGTCATAAAAATGTCATATTTTCGAATTACCAACTAAAAAAATTATTAACTTAACCGAATTTTCTATTTCTATACCTAATTCTATTCTATCAAAAAGTTTTAAGATATTAGAAAAGAAATTCTGATGGAACATTTAATAAAATCATTCCAGTTTTACATCAATATATATATATTAAAAAAAGAGTCGATTTTGGTCCATTAAACGGATGGCTATCAGAGTATAATTTCATTCCCTGCCATCATATATCAGCCTTTTTGACTTTTGCTATAAAATACGATAATTTAAATATTAAGAAAAGAAAAAAAAAAGAACTATCGGACATTTGTGATATGTTTTCAAAATGGCGAACAGAATCCATTAGCAAGGATTGAAGAGAAAAGAGAAAAAGGTAAAGTTAGCCAAGTTCACGGCTGAGTTGGCGTATGGAAGATTGAAGAGTGAGTGGACAAGATACTTGCTCCAAAATGCATACCAGAGAATAAATTTGCAATTAAAGTTTAATTTGACATTGCAAAGTTTCATCCATTAGAATAGACTACTTATCGCGGATACTCTGCTTTAATTATTAATGCGAAAAAGTTAAGAAAAAATTTACAAAATTAAACGATTTTTAATTTTCCACTACTCTAATAAAGTCTGGAAACAAACTCTTCAAAACTTTCCTACGGCTTAACAATCATAATTTTTAATTTTACTGATCGAAGAAGAATTTCGTAATTTACTCAACCGCTCACTTAAGTACATACAAAAAAGAAAAGAAATGATTAAAACGAATTAATTATAAAGTTAAATTCTTATTATTTTATAACACAGGGGGAAAAATATGTTAAGAATGTAAAAAAACAAAAAAGTGTTCGACATTGTAAATTAATGCAGCGACATTCTTGTGCCGTGTACAAAACAAAATACTGTATAAGAATATGTTATAATTTTATTATAATTATATTTCCTAAATGAATTAAATATTACTTAACAGACGTAATAATAATATAATTTATAATACGTACTGTAATTTAACAACATTATACGCGGTCTGGAGGGTTGCCATTTTCCTGACAAAATTTATGGTTTATGTTAATGATGTGTCTACAGAACATTAATTATAATACTGATACTTCATTTGCAAGTAACTAAATATATTAATGCCCGATAGAATTACAAAATTATTTATAACAGCAGCAACAGTTAAGGTTTGCTAACGCCTTTTTTTTTTTTAAAGATGAACGAGAAAATTATATTAAATTATCCACAAGGGAAGGGAGACGAAAGTTATTATTCAGGAGGTTACAACATAAACACATGATATCCGCACATAGCATCCGTTTCCTATCTTTACAACCGTTAAAAATTTTTATACTGTAAGCGATAAATTAATTTTAATATTTTATAGAATATTTTTAAAGATTTTTCTAAGTTTTTTTAATGTATTTTTATGTGGTTTATATAATAATTGGTTTAAAATATAGGCAATTTCCTCTTTTGTGGAATGACCAATAAAAACAGATGACGTTGAATTGAAAATAACACCAAACGTTCTTTCTGTATTATCTTAACTTAGTTTATTTAATACAATTTAGAAAGCAATTAAATTAACTACACAATGGATTTCCTTTGTTTAAAATAATTAGTGAATATTAAATAAAGAGGAAAAAGCGTAAACAGCTTTGTTTCTAGATCAATGTCACAATCAAAGATAAACGTTTCGATGAAATTTCGATCAAAAATAAGATAAAAATTTATAAAATTTTAAAAGATTATTACTAAATTTATATATTAAAATATAATTTAAAATTAATTACGAAACATCAACTCGATCATTCCGCATCGCCTAGCAGATTTTGCAAGTGCTGTCGAAATCGAATAAATGGTGTACATAAACAATAACAGAAAGCATCATTGTCAGTCACGTGGACTTATCTGTAAGGTAATCTTTAACCATCCTTATTTATTTGCGAGCATTAAAAGATACAATTTTCTTTATTTATAACCTTATTTTCTTGACATAAAATATCTTAGAGCTCCCTCCATACCATAAGTTTTTTTTTCCTCTTACACGCTGGATGTATAAGTTATATATGTTACACGTATTCATCGATGCGTTAATCTTTGGTATATAGAGCTAAGTTTTATCTCGTTCGAAAGCGATAATCACAGAAAAGAGAAGCTTAAGAGGCATTCCAACAAAAGGTTATTATCTGGATGAGTAGTTTAACATAATAGCTTCTTATCCGATTATCACGTCAAATAATAGATATTTCATAAGAAAATCGATCGCTTCTTTTAAATAATAGATCAGTAATTAATAAGCGGATATGTAAGTAAGAAAAATGCTGTTGTGATGCACGCTTATGTTCTTCTATACACGGCAACACAAATACTTGATCCTCCTTTTTACGTAAGGTAATTTAAAGCCGAGGTTGAACGGTAATACGAGACTTTTATCTGATTGAATCCATCTTGAATTCCCATTCCTTTATTAGAAATAAGTATGATTTATTATATATTTTAATCTATTTTTTTTTATATAAAATCTACTTTGTTCGGCTAATTGTGTATATATATTTTTTTTTAAAACATAATTAATTTTGATTTTTTCAATAGAAAAAAACACACGAAGAGATGGTGCAGATAGCTATATTGAAAGAAAAAAATAATAATAATAATGAAATTTCTTGGATTACAACAATTACTCAATAATACATCTGGAAATTTAAGACTAAAGAATTTAGAAAATTTATAACGACATAAAATACTATAAAAACATTCTATAAGTTAAAGTTCACTCTTAAAATAAACGATAAACAACACACAAAATCTGAAAATTTTGAAAAATTTCGGCCATTTAAAAGTAATGAAAAATTCAGTTCAAGAGAAAAATATAATGTTTATAATATTTACTACAGAAATTTAAGGTGTATTCAATGATTATCCTTTATAATTTCACTACAAATTGTACACCATTTAATTTTGTTGTGATTAGATGAGCCATAAAGTCTAATGAAGGACAATTTTTTAAAAAATCGCGAGCTGATCACGTATCAATATTTATACAAGCATTTTTTTTTACCTGGACGCTAATTATATTATACAAACAAGAAAAAACACCACGCTAATGTTACATTAAACAGAATTATTCGTATTAATTTACACTTTAGAATCGTATTTATCCCTATGTAAAAAAGTCCCAGATGCTACCAAGCCTTAAAAGTTTCTTCGGTTGACTTCAACAGCATCCTTAATTATCCTACGAGTTCAATGCACGAAGATAGGGTTCCAATCGAGGTAATTTCTAACGAACAGAACATTACTAATCACTCTTATGGGAAGAACAAAACATAACGACACCCCTCTTAACAAGTGATTTTCTTATTAATCGTAGATAAAAAAAAACACGCTAAAATTATTAATAAAGCCTTCTAGTTTTATTAATTAAGACGATTTATTACTAAAAATCGATATATAAATATATAAAGGATGAGCGGATAAAGTTGTTATTAATTATACTAATGTAATACTTCCAGATAATAATAACAGGTCAATACGATTCTGTGACCCGGCAGTTGTTAGAAAATCCTCTCGAATAGAATAAAAATTTTTCCTATATATATATTATAATAATAATAATATAACCTTTAAGTAGTAGGGAAAAAGAAAAAAGATGTTTATTAACTCACCAGACGGAGAATCTCCTTCTGGTTTGTGTGGAAGGTTTAGATACTTCTTTGAAAGAGTGATGTCTACTCCTCATGTCGACGAGTTGGGTTATTGATCCTCGGTCCGAAAAATCAACTTTCAGGCGATTCCCACACTAAATCCATTTCGTTTATTTCTCGTCCGGCTCTCCATTCGAATACTGGAGATTCTGCTTTTCCTTTTCTCACTGCGGCACAACACTCGATGCCAGCGCCGCCTGATGACGTCAGTTCGGGAACACGTGATCTTTCGATAAATACCGTAAATTTCGTTTTCTTTTGTTTTTTTTTTTTTCGTTTGTTTTGTATTTCGTTTTCGGTTTCTCTTTTGCGTAAGTTCTGAGTTGGCCTGCGTGTCTTCCATTTTCCCGTGTTTATAATTCGATTGGTGATTTCGGATATTTATTAGATTATTTATGCCGCGTTGTTTTCTTATGAAATTGCATTTTATATTTATAAATATTGTGATGAAACGGTGTTTTTTTACTAAGTAACGTGAAGGAATTGTAAACAGCGGAGCAAAACAAGTTACAAAACGCTATGTAAACATCGTTTCGATGGAAACGTAAGTTTACAGTTTAATTTTTTTCAATCCGAGATACGCTAATTCTCGTAATAACATTATTTAAATCGCAATTTAGGGCATTGTATTATTATAAATTCACCGTATAAAACATGTTGATGCTCGGCGCATAAATATGGTAACCACTTTTAGCATTAAGTTGTATTACAGCATTGTTAGTTTGATTGTTTAGATCCCCTTAAAGCTAAAATATTAACGTTATTTTATCAGTTTTAGTGCTAACGGCATCGAGAATATTGTTAGCTAAAGCGTATTATCGTTAGTAGTCGTAATCGCAGAATCGTTATCTCTAAAGTAAGCAAAGATGGTAGTTGATATTGTATTGCAGTCGTATTAACAATTCCACTGTGATAGTTTACACATTTTCGTAAGGTTGTTAACATTTGTATTTTAAAGCAGATTCCCAAATCTGTGATTAGAGGATCTAGAAAGCGTCTGGTGTATGCCAACCAGAGACTAATTCAGATTTTGGCAATGTTATTAAGTTAAAGTCATTATTACTAAGAGTTTACGCAGGCGAAAACGTTTAAATACTACATTTTATAAATTACAACTTTATATAGAAATTATTATTAAGTTCAGAATAGTAAAATCATTTACTGTTTTTACGTTACACCCACGAAAAATGACTGATTTAAATTTAATAAATGCAGGTCTATATTTAGATGAACGTATAACATTGTCAAAATATTTACAAAATCAATATTTCATAAATTTACAAAGTTAATTCATGAGAAAATCGCCAACTATACTGCCAATAGTTGTTAAAGTTTTATGATATTAAGCTGTAAGTTGTTCAATATAAAGTGTGTTTACCTAGATATAGGATTAAGCTTCACTTTCGGAAATTAATAAAATAGCAAATTATTAATATTCATGAAAATTATGCATTAATTCAATATTATATAAAGTCTACATTGTGTTTATGAATATTAGAAAAATTTGTATATGAGTTTAAGCTCAGTATTTGTAAGTGGATTATGAGAATTGAATAAAATCAGTGAATGCATACAACACGCTATTTCGTTATATAGAAATTTTTTATGCTTTTTATTTACTTTTACTCCAATTCTTTTCTTATTAACAATTACAAAATTCTATCTAGAAAATAAATTAATAGTGAATAAAGTTCATTCGGTAGTCGTGTTTTACGTCTTCGCAAAACCGGAAATGAAACAATATCCTCGGTACGAATTTCCCTTGACCAAATTGCGGGTAATCTCTGCACCCCATGTTTGTATAAAAGATTTCTATCTCGCTAGCTTAATTGCAAAATAAAATGCTGGCGACTTACTTTTTTTTCCACGTTTTTGCCAGTGAAAAATTCCAATTTTATGAAGAAGAAAAAAAACAACACTGATTCAAGTTTCTTGAAGATTTTTTTTCTGGAAAAAATGTATCTTAAGGCTTTACAGTGTAATTTAAAATACGATTTCTTAATTATTCGGCATTTGCTTTTGAATGACTAGAACAGAAACTAGCAGCATTTTTTTTCGAGATAAAATACATGTGAATATGATAAATGATAATTATATAAAATCCAAAAGACTTCTTAATGCAGTAATAATACATTCTCTTATTTAATATATCATCTATGAATTCCGGATTCTTTATTTTTCTTGAAAACGAGGAGAATAATACAAATATAAATTACTATCAATAATAAATAGGCTATATACAATTTAAATTTACTTCATGTTTTATTTATAAAGTAAAATTATATATTAAAAGAAAACAAAGACGAGAAAAAAAAATAGAAGAATTTTTAGATTACAGTTCATTTAGATTTAGTTCACATTTACATAGTAAAATCTATTATTATATACATAAACATTATAGTTTACTTAACTTTACTGTTTATGCAAGAAATATATTATTAGATGGAAAATAATGAGAAAACGTACTTTAAACAGGGCTAAATGACAAATTCATTTGTATACTTTATTCATACAAATTTATATTTATATAATTAGTGAACTAAACGTCATTTTTTCCTATCTTCTCTTATACAATATCATTAATATTAATCGTCAATCCATTGCTATATATTATGAAAAGGAAGAATATTTATTTAGTCAATTAGATTTAGTTTACATTTACATAAAAATAAAAAATTGTTTTATTTTATAAAAGCAGATTTAATAGCGATTTAATTGCTATTTCCGTGATATATAATCGGAAAAATATAAAAAAAAACGGATTAAAAGAGTATCTTCATTATAATAATTTACAAAATTACAAGTAATATCCCATTTAATTTAAATGGATTTTATTATATAAAGAGATAAACTCATTTCTTATTTGTGAAAATTAAACGTTGCATTAAAATTTCGTAATTAACTTATACAGAAAATTTCTATAAATATATATTAAAATAATAGTTACGTTCTCATTACTTAACAATCTCATTTAAAAATTAAACGAACGATATATTATTTAGGGAAGTAGTAAAAGAATTTTTTTTGACATTGTCAACAACAACTATCCTAGTTATTATCCTATTATTTCGAAGACTGATCCACTATCACATTGTCTGATGTCAAAAATAGAAAGTAATCATCTGGCACACAACACACACAAATGGGAAAAAAATCAATGCCTTTCGACATTTTTCACAATTATGTGCTACACTGTGCTGACAGTGCATCACAGTCGAAAATAAGACAGGTCGGTTTTAAGAGATAAATACGAATAGAATCTACATCGACCATCTTCTACTGAAATAATCAAGGATCGAGATCTTGGGTAATTTTTAATGAATATTTATGTATTACTATAGAGTACAGAGTTTAAGGTATGTGAGTCACGCAAGGTCGTAGAATCACCAAGGGCACATCAAAGCCACCTAAAGAACAAGGTCGCAGTTCGCACCGGTTTACAATGTCGAAATGCTAACCTCGGTGAAGCAACGATATCTGCTATGACAGGAATGCTTAGATGAAAAAAAAAATTGCATAAGTTATATTCATAAATATGACATAAGTGGATATAAAATGCAATTTCGAAGGAATCTCTTAATTTGGCAAAAGAAATTTATGAAAGAATTTACAAGAGAGGAATTGGTTACGCGAGTAACAGTTTATTAAATACGGTAATGATTCTGGATGAATTTTTACTGAATGTTAAGATGTGTTTTTATTTTAGAATATTTAAACGACTGGCATCTGAAACATTCCATTTTGAATAAAATTATTTATATATATATAGAAACCTCAAAGCGAGTTATAAATTTGTTTAATCTTATGAATTTTCGTACAATGTAAGCCATAAATTAAGATGTATTAAATGTAATAATTTATTACCTATAAAAAATAATCTGAACATTTAATTTTAAAGTATATTGACCTAATTTAAAATATTTACACAGTATTGAATGTTTTGAAAATACCTAAATAAGAACTATAAATTTGTTTAAAGTATAAAATCATTGTCATTAGTAATGAAACACTTTCAGATATTTTAATATCCGGATTTTTCTGTCAGCCCATCAAAACCGAATCAATTCCAGTTTATTTTTCTCCTCGGGAATTTTTCCAATGCTTAAAAAAAAGGCTGGGTTTCCGGTATTCTGACAGAAACCAAGACAGATGACCCAACAATTAGCTAAGATGTTGCACCCTCCATTCTTATAACATAAAATGGCGCTGAGATAATTACTGTCGTTCCCTAAAGTCCAGCCTGCTCTCTTTTCCAGATGGCTACTAGCCCCAAGGGTCACTAAAAGAGTTTAAGAGTAATAGAAGTCGATAGTTGATACGATAAAGATCGATCGAATTACTTAAACAGAGATCGAGGAAAAAATAGATTAACATTGTGTCCGATTTATCAATTTAGACATGTAAATTTCTATTATATCATCGCGTTGGAAGGATTCTGCTCTAGATATATTTTAAAATAATTGTATTATTCAAAGGAGAATAAACATTGTTCACTGAGGCTGAAGTGCTGTTAGAGGAAAGTAGAGTATATCATTTCAGTTCGAATACTTAAAAACAAAACTTAGTTACACCATATAAGCCGACCTTGCTAACAATTGGAGCGAAGCTGGATACATTGTAAAATCTTTTATATAAAGCCACTGCAAAATGATGCAACAAACAGTAACGATTAAATATGTATACAGATTCTGAATATAATAATTGTTAAAGGGGAAAAAATAACGAAAAATACGCATCAAAAGAGCCAGTTTACAGGAAAAAATATATATATTCTATATCTGAAATCAATTCGGTTCGAGTTGAATCCAATGGGGATTCAAGTTACTTTAACAAAAGTTGAAGTGCAGGAGATAGAGGGGAGAACCTACAACCAATAGAACGCAACCTCTTCTGAATATGGACACAGAAAAAAATATGATTCCTTTCGGGAAAACTTTATAAAGTATTTTTTTATGATTAAATAAAATATTTTATTCTGTTTAAAAAAATATCACAATTTTCAATTTAGCATACTTTCTACGTCATATTTGTTTTATTTAAATAGAAGAATATCAATATAAATGGCTACAGAATGTTAACAGAATGGCAGAAAGTAGATTACCTAAAGCAGTTTCTTCAGTATAAACATAAGGAAAGGAGAGATCAAGGAACACCATAGAGAAGATAGATAGAGCAAGATGAGTT